ACAATGCAACATCAAGCACACTTTCTTCTATATCTAGATTTTATTGTTAGCCAATGATACAACTGTTTGGTACACAGAGTCCTTAAATTACCATGTGGAGAGCAGCTAGCAAATTGTGCAAAGTCCAGTGAGAGAAATGTCACTCCCTGAAAATAATCAGTCCTTTTCTTTCTCATGGAGCCTCCTTTACTGCTGGTATGAAAAATGTTTGATATTTTTCCCCCTAAAAGACCAATCTCTACCAGTTCAGAACTCAATCACATTCAATCTTTCATGATTTCTTCCCATTTGGCTTAATTTTTCTGAGTACACAGTCTCTCTACTTAGAGAGCTTCCCTGCAGTATTTTAGGAGTTGCTGTTAAACCCCAAACCCCAGTTGGTGGATCTGGTGACCAGCTCTTGTGTCACTGTCAAGCACAACTCTGATTTTCCCGCCCCTCTGGGTTTTCACTGGCATTGCCAGCTCTCTTGTCCATGCAATCTTCCTTCTGTTATAAAATCACATTGAATTGAACTCTGGTAACCCTGCCTACTTCCCCAGGCTGGTAGAGACTGGTAGAGACTGATCTTTGGAGGAAAAATATCAAACATTTTTCATATCAGCAGTAAAGGAGGCTCATGAGAAAGATAGGGACTGATTATCTTCAGCAACCATAGTTATCTTTCACCTACTCACAAAGCACAAGAAAATATTCAGTTGTTCTCTTAGCACATACCAGGCTGGGAAGAAGTGTCTCATGTTCATCACCTCAGCCACTTCAACCCCACCAGCAGGTACTTCATTAGGCACCTCTTTGCCTTCTGAGGAGATGACATAAAGCCAAGCAGTCTGTCAGGGAAGAGAGAACAACACTGTTCTCAGTGTTGCCCAAGCATATGGTGGTAAGTCTTCTTCGTACCCTGACCACCCCTACACCATTTCTCCAAATCATGTTTAACCTAGTGTGGAAGACTGGGAAGAGAGGGCGCTGGAATTTCACCCACTGTTCTTTCCTCCCTGTTCCACTCCTCTGCAGGATGCAGTAGAAAGCAGAGAATGATTCCTCTTCCTGTACACTGTAAGTTTCCTTTGTCATCCTCTCCATCCTACAACACAATGGGTTGTAGTGAAACTATGAACAGAAATTCAAAATCTCGTCTAGCTATAGAAGATTTGGAAATTTAAATAATACTTTTATTTCTTAAAAAAAAAATCAAGCATTCTATAATATCACAGGAGTCTAAAAAAAAAATCCTGGGTCATTTATTTACCTTAAATCCCTGCACCATTCCATCAAGATAGGCCAGCCTGTATGACAATTTCCTCTTCACTCACTCTCTCCTCTCCTATACAAGAAGCGTCTTCAGGATGCCACCTGTTTCTTTATTCCCAGAACTCACCATGGCATCTACTACATAATTGATCACTAATTTGCATTTGTTAGGAAACATGATACAAGCTAGAGTTGATTTTATATCAAATCAATTTCATTCTTAATCTAGATACTGGCTTGGGTTCAGGTCATTTTTCTGAGAAGTGACCCCAGGAAGCATACAGCAAAAGAAAAAGCAAAAAAATGGGAACTGCCCTTTAAGGTCGTACCAATGATTTGGGGACACCTGGGTCTTGATCCAGCTGGAAACCTTTAAAGAAACTCTTATGGATCTCAAAACTGCCTCTTGGTAGTAAGGAAAACTTGGACATTTATCTGCTGACTATTTATCTACTGACTCCTACCCCAGAGTAAAGGTTGTGCCCTTGCAGCCCAGCAAATGTGCGTAGCACCAGAAAAGACCCGGATCAAATAGACCAAGAGGCACAACACTCAAGTGAGAAGCAGTCAACCTATTGTACAAGTGAACTCTCACCAAACCAAAGGCATAGGATGAACCTCAGAGAAGCAGCTTTATTAGCAAACCCACATAGTTGGGTATGAGTAATTTTAAGATTCCTTATGGGTAGCAAGGAATGATTTTTATCCCATTCAGGATACTTACGATGTAGAGATAATAGCACTACTTTGACTTAGTGTTCATCGTGGACCACAACTTTTGCAAGAAAATCAGTATCTTTTAATGTTCTGTGTTATTATTTATTAATAAATCACTTTCCCACTGTAGGATGTACTTTTGTTCAGACCTATGAGATTATAAAATTTATTTTATACTGATTATGTCTGTTTCAACATCTGTGCTATACAACTTCAAAGAACTGATTTTGTCTCATCATTAAATAGCTATAGATATTCATCATCATACTCAGTGCATTTACATACAGAATATCATCAGTGATCTGAGATCATTTTGAGGCTGCATTCCTTTTTTTCCCTAAGGGAATGATCAGTGAACTTCCATGACCTTTACTCAGTGCTACTGTACACAAAGACCCTATTCATCTCAAAAATGTGTGTGGAATAAACCACCCACAACCTAATGAAACTTACTGTTTAGAGTACAGAAATACATGCCTGTTTTTCAAAAATGTCTAGTTAACTATTCAGTAGATGCAAAGATGAAGTTAATCTAAATAAAATTCATTGAAAAAAATGATACAAATGTTGAAAATGATAATCATATATATGGAGTCATGTTCAAAGACATTAAAGACATAAAGCGTTCAGAAAGAAGATACCCAGAAGTCATGGTGACAGATGTCAGACAGCCTATTGGATCATGTTGAATGCCATCTTCCCTCCCGGCATACTGCTCCCTTGCTTAGAATATCTGGCATCTCTTCCTTAATTACTCTCTCCTTCCCATTTTTTTTTTTTTTAGCAATGTAAAAAGTTTATTTTGAATATGTAGCTGTCAACTGCTTCCATAAACAACTATTACATCCATCCCAAAATTCAGTTGCTGTGAAAGTGAACATATAAACTCATATGCCCAGATTTCTGGGTTGCTTGGGAGTGATTGATCAAGCTTGGGCTTGACTGGTTAGCTCTGTTTTCAACTGTGTCCAGCCCTCCTTGTCTTTTAAGATGACATAAGCATCACCTCCTAGGTTAATTTTCTACAACTATTGTGACAAATTACCACAAATGTGTTGACTTAAGACAACACAAATATAGTCTGTTGTAATTCTGGAGGTCACAAGTCAAACATGGGTCTTGCTGATCTAAAGTCAAGATGTCAGAGTGGCTGGAGGCTAGAGGTGAAAACCCATCATCTGATCTTTTTCAGCTGCTGGAGACCATCTGTGACGCTAGGGTCAGTCTCCTCCCTCTTTCTTGAAGATGCTCTTTCTAGAGCATCTTCTTTGAACTCTGCATCCATCCTTCCATCTCTGTAACCCCAATTCTTCCCTCTTCTCAAGAGCCTCATGATTATCCTGAACCCAACAGGGTAATTTACTTACTCCATGTTCTTCAACTTAATTGTATCTGCAACATATCCTTTGCTGTGTCAAAAATATATTCAGAAGTTCCAAGGATTTAAGGTGTCAACATCTTTGGCATAGAGGTTTGCTATAATGGATTTATTCATCCTGACATGCCTCTTCTTGAAAGTTTTTCTGAGCTCATAAGTTAGAATTAGCTTGTCTCTCTTTGGATCCCAACCACAATTATCTAAGTATATCTCTAATCTGAAAGTTTTTAGAACAATGTTAAATTTAGAGTTTAATCTTTACCTTTACTGTTTGTTGTTGACAAGGTTGAGTATTTCATCTATACAGTCTCACTGACCTGAATCCAAACTCAGTGCTCTCTTGCTTTCTTCCTGTAAAAAGGAGAAGCTGTATTGCTAGGAGTGTAGAGAACAGATGGAGGGATCAGATTTCTCATCCCAACCTCCACTCTGGACTCTGCCAGTAAGAAGCAACACCAACTTCTCATTTTCCTCTTTTGAAATATGGAAATATTTGTAATATTTACCACATGTATTTTTGTGGGTGCTAATGAACATATGAAATTTACATAGACCAGGGACTGACATATGATATTTACTCAAAACTGTTATTTCCCACTGTGCAGTTATGATAGGAATGAAAGAGGTAGTATAGGAAGCCTCAGCACAATGACTGGCACACAATAAATTTAGCTTTGAACTTATCAGCAGTTGTGTCAAATGCAAACAGGTTAAAGAAATCAAATAGATTTAAGAAAATGCTATATTTCAAACGTAGGAGTTTAACAAAACTGTGCAAATTTTCTGAATTATTTCAGACTTTCTTATTCTCAGACTCATGTGGTCATAGGGTTAAAGATACGGAAGATAATGTTGCAATGGGTAGATTTTATTAGCTACCATGATGAAAGTGCAGACTTTTTTTTTTAAGATTTATTTATGTATGCAGACAGAACTGGGGTACAGGCCAGTGGCACAAGGGAAGCGAGGGCCACCAGAGACTGAGTTGGGAGCAGAACAGGCAGATTCACAAAGTACACTGCTGAGGGGAGCAGCGGGCTGGAGAGTCTGCTGCACAGTGTGGGTCAGCTTCTTGGCTGGGGATCAAACTCATGCTGAAGCAGCTGCATCTAGCTTTGCAGTGCGTGCTTTAACCCATTGCACCACCAGAGAAGGCCCAAAAGTGCAGACTTTTAAACATTTCACATATACTATTTCTTGATAATGACTTACTGTTAACTCCAGGCTGTATTTAGCAATCTAAAGCTATTTGATTATTTAGACTTCCCTGATTATTATCATTCGTGCATATAATAGTCCTTAAGTCCTTTGGATCATGAGATCTTCACACGTTGCCTGCATGTTTCCAAGGCAAATTGAGCCATTCCACTCAAATGTTTATAATAAGTAGAATAGAAACTTGTAGAATCATCTTCCTCTCTCATATATGAAGTTGCAGCAAATGATAGTGTCTCAGCTGTTCCAAGTTCCTCAAATAAGTTTTACTTTTGCAAAACCAGCTCTCTACTTCCTGTGTTTTCTGAGCTGTGTTATGAGCAACATGACCGGCCGGCACATTTGCTGTAATTTGTTAAATATGTGGAAAAAAAGAAAGATATCAACCATGTATTATCTAAATCAAGAAGCCAAATTATCTAACTTGTTTCTCCAGGCAAGCAGCCCAACAACAGGGACAGCTCCCAGGAGTCAGTCAAGGTTGTCCGTCTGTCCATCCACTCAAGACATCTGCAGGTAAGTACACAACAGTTGATTCAAATTAGTAGTGTTTGCAGCCAGTGTGCTGTATTCTTGTATTTTTTTTTTTTTCTGAAAGTTGTGGCTCTTGCTTCTGCCTTACAATGTTCATGGCCAACTTATACTGACTTGGTTTATTTTCTTTAATACATTTTCTTCAGTTGATCTTTGTTTACCAACTTCTGGCCCATGCCATCATTTTCATCCTTCTCTCTCTCTGTTTTTCCATGGCTTTCCTCTCCATCCCCATCTCCCATCCTTGGCCTTTGTCTAGATCTGCCATCTTATATGACCTGTCAGAAGACACGTTTGCACAATGCACCCCCTGTCATGGTGCTGAACCCTTCTAGGAAGGAGTCTGGTAAGAAATCAGTGACATAGAGGCCTAGGAGGAGGAGAGGGGTCTCTGAGAGATATGGCCATGCATAAGAACAAATAAAGGAAGAAAATTGATTTTCCCCCCTTCAAATCTCAAGTTCCAAATGGAATCGTGAGCTTTGCACAGATTCTTCAAATCCATCCACCACAGATGAGACTTTCTGGATTCAGACAAAAAGAAGAGCCCAAATTCAATTCCAGTTGCCACAAAGACAGAGGAGAAATAATAATAAATCCTGTGGGATTGTGGTTGGATCATCTGCTTGTTACAGAACTGAGCTGGTTGATTTGTCAGCCACAAGAAAAGAGCAACGAGAAGCAATTGAATGTGAGAATTGTTCTTTTTGTCATCTCAGAAGATAAGACTCAAGGTACCAAGAATGAGCCACTCCCTGCACAGTGGCTCTTCTGAGATGAAAAGAGCATCAAGGGACCACAAAGAAAGCCAAGGTAGTTACCAGAGCAGAGTGCTCAGCTCTTGCATAGTCCCAGGCATAATGCAACTGTCAAGAAAAGATTTTCTGAAACAGATCCCACAGTGATGAGTTCACAGTAGCAGATGGTGGCAGGTATGTGGATACTGCAGGGTCCAGGTGAATCACTCTTTTCAGAAACCTCTTAGGACCTACAATGATGACTTTGATCATTTAAAAGTGTGCAGGTCAGTCACTGTTCAGAGAAAAAAAAGAAAAGGTTCCGTCCAAATGTTGTTCTTCCTACTATAAATTAGCTGGGTGTTTGACTCCTACTTTCAAACATAACATTGTTCATACTGTTTTTTTGTCTGACTGGATATACAGTTACAAAGGAGAAAAGGTGGTATGAGAAGAAAATGCAAAAGTTTCCATGGGTTTAAAAGCTGTCTCTGAACAGAATAAGATTTGTTCTTGCCCTTTCTTTGAATTGAATGTTTTGTCCCAGGAAAGGGGCTGATAAGCCAGTTGACCTTTGTACCTATTCTAGTGAAGACATGAGCAGCAGAGGAAATATGTGAGAGAAAGCTTTCATGCTTCTGTGCAAATTTGGTGAACAGTAACTCCCTAACCATAGAGAATTTGAACCCTGGGCTTCTTAAGGTCAGATTTTTTGTATCAAAAACATATCTTTTTATATCTGAAAATCTCCTTTTCAGTTGTCACTAATTTGCTCTATGGTTTTGGCTCAAGACCACAAGGACATAGAGAGCCATGGTGGACACAGCTCTGGGCTCTGGAGTCTCCAGGGAAGGACCTCCTGACTTTCTTGATCATCATGTACTGAAAGACTTCAGCACGAAGACATTGCATTACCTGATCACTTCTTTCTTGCACTTTCTGACCTATTTTCAAAATAATCTAGTGCTAAAACGAATTATAGAAATAACCATGCTAGTAGGCACAAATGAGGCCATTTTAAGCAAAGCTAATATTTATAAATGTTCACATTATACCTAATAAGTTAAATTGGTTAGTTTTTGCTTGGGGACAAGGAAAGCTTTTTGTCGCCTAATGCTTGGTTGTTTGGGCTTATTTTTAGGAAAGCTGAACTTACTTTGTTAAACATGTATGTTTCCTGTGAAAGATGTGATCCAGAGAATGCTGACTGTGTCCACTCAGGGCAAGGCAAGGAGGAAAATTAATGTCTAAATGTAAATAATATTAGAATAGTTTGTTTCTCCAAAAGTTTGACAAGAGAGTCATTGATAAAATCCTCGTTCACTTATTCATTCAAGCATGTATTATACAGCAGACTTTCATCTAGGCACCGAAATCATCTCTGACATTTTAGGCATCTTATAGCTTGCAGCCTAGTGGGGAACACAGACTCAGAAGAAACTATCTCATAATTGACATAGGCTACAATCATCTTAAGGAATATGGAAATATATAACAAGGAAGCCTTAGTTATTCTGGGATATCAAAGAAGGAGCCTACTAAGCAAATCACAAAACCAAGAGGCTCAGAGAATGACAGGAATTAATCAAAAAATGAATCAGGGAAAACTGTCCAGCTAAAGGTGCTATTGCAGGGAACAGGGAAAAAGGACGAAGCTCAGTCATCTGGGAACTGAAAGCCAGTTGCTGTGGCTCAACATGGTAAATGACACAGATGTGTGTTGGAGGCAAAGATAGAGAGGGCCATGGAAAAGCGCTTAAAGAATCAGAAATGCAAGTGACACCATTTGATTTGTATTAATATTTATATCTTATAATCTTGACTCTGATTTGAGTGTGCCTTTACTGAAATGTTGGGGGACAGATTAAAACACCATTTATGATCAAGACTAATTCTCCCTTTACACCCACCTGCTGTCATCCACAGAGCTAATTCAACATAATTCAGTGCAGGACAGTCAGAGGTGCTGTTTGTAGGCCTAATGGTAATTGGGTTAAAAGACACTTGCAATTAAAATCATAGAGAATGTCTTGCCTAACTTCTTAAATGTACCACTCTGAAGAGAAGTATCGAAGACACAACATTTACCTTAGGTTTCTATTAATTAAAATGAGATCAATGTGTCTATAGTTACTATTTCCTATGTGGGTTATCTTCAAAGTATACCTACTGAGCTATTCAATGGGCATGTTAAATGCCCAGGTGCTGGAAACTGAGGGAAAAAAGGGGCGAGAGTTGATTCTTCCCTCAAGTGCCTATTATCTAGTGGTTAATTTTTAACATATACTTGAAACAACTAAAGTTCAAAGATGAATTTTTTTTAAAGATTGATTTATTCATACAGAACTGGGGTACAAGCTAGAGGTGCAGGGGCAGGGGGAGGCTTTACTAGAGGCAGCGCAGGGAGCAGAACAGGCAGACTGACAAAGTACACTGCTGAAGGGCCCAGTGGGCAGGTCAGGAGAGGTCTGCCCCACCATGTGGTGTGCCATCCCATGTCCGGGGCCCGGGGTCAAACTCGCACTGAAGCGGCTGTGGCTAGTTTGCAATGCTGTACTTTAACCGCTGTGCCACCAGGGAGGGCCCAAAGATGACTTTTAAAAGGAAATACAGCAGGAATTTGAAGAAAGAAAAATTGTTGATAACTGAGACAACTAACAACCCCTTAAAAAGAGGTAGGACTGGAACTGAGAATTCCAATTAGCAGAGAGGTGTTGATGGTATTCCAGGTAGTTGAGTTGTGATGAAGGGATGATGTTGCTCATTCAGAAATTTTGTGTGAACTTGCTGTGATTAGGTTGGGAAATTTGCATAAATGAATAACAAAGAAATAATTTTAACAAGACATGGTGAAGAAGATATAGGTATCCTTCCAAGGAGTTTCACTCTATTCTGTCATCCTTGTTTCCAAACTACCTTAATGAGCCTTTTGACTCAAATGCTAAGAAAAGATCAAAGGCATTTGGATCACTTTAACTCATCTTCAGCCAGACAAGCTTCATGATTATCTCTCTGATACAATGTGATTCTATATAATATTCCTTTTAAGATAAATAAGAGATTCCAATGCAAAAAATAATACAGAATAGACATCACTAAATACAAAAAGTTCAGTGGATAATAGCATAGAGATTAGTCTCAGTGTCTATGAAGGTGTGCAAGAAAGAAACTAGATTTAGAAGAAACTAGATTTGGCAGTGTCCAGCTTTGGGGTTATTAGTGACAGGGAAGGAAAGCGGGGTCCTGGCACCCCACAGGTGAACAGGAGCAATCTTACTGCTTGGAGATGGTGAGTGTATCAGACCAGGGGTCAGGGATGCCTCCAAACCTTGGAAGTTGGGAAAGAGTAAATTCTGTTGTTACTGACAAAGGCAGAAGAGGTCACAGACAGCTTGATTTGGGCAAAACATGGTTTCAATTACAGGTAGGCTGTGGTTAAGATAATACGTCAGTGTCAGCTTTCTGGCAGACGCTATGAGGCATGTCACTGAAACTTAGAAGAACAGTCAGTGCTGAGTCTGTATAGCTCTTCAAACATTCAGGAGCTATACACAAGTCGACGCTAGACAATTATGTGTGTACAATTGTTGTTAACATGTTATAGTAGCACAAAGATATTCAAAGTGGAAAATCTTTTCAAGGCCAGATAGGAGATTGATTTGGGCCTCATTGTCAGGGAAGTGACTGAGTTGCCTGGAAAGTGAATGAAATCTCAAAATGAAACCTTCAGTGCAAGAAAGGTCTGCAGATGAGTATGGCCCTATGGTCCGCAGATGGACACAACCCTAAGGTCTACAGATGGACACAGCTCTAAGGTCTGCAGATGGACACAGCCCTAGCACCAGGCCTCTGTATAGAGCAGAGCATTGGTAGGTGAGAGAAGTAGCCAGGGAACTTACTCCTGCAGCACCAGCCATGCATGGGCAGGGCCAGTCTGAGCCACAACCACAAAGAGAAGCAACTCCTGCGCTCTTCCTCCTTTTCTGTTCCTTCCACTTAGTCTCCAGATGGGCTCCCTACCCTTTCACACCCTCATCAAAGTCTTATTTAGAGTTTCTCTATTAGCCAGTAGAACCTACAGGGAATTAACATCATCAGGCTATTGCACCGACACAAGGCAGAGTGGAAAAGGCTTTACCTTTTTATAGAAGAAAATGACCTGCCAAAAATTGAAGCAGTTATGTTAGCTTGTGTTTGAAACCTTCCAATGACCTCTTAATTGCCATCATTGGGAAAAATCCAAAA